TAGTACTCGGCGACGGAGTCTCTCTCCCACCACGAAACCCACACCAAACTTGCGCTCCTTTATATGGCCACTGTAGTAAATGCCACAAGGACCTAGAAGGAGACTATTTTGAATAAAATAAATTGATTTTGCCAAAAAGCCCTTTGTTCTGTTTTTTTTGTTTAAGTCCTGTTTACTTTAGAAGATACCTTTTCAATCAACCAGTTTCAAGTTGTTATACTGTTCATTTAACACCTAATAGATACAGATATTGAGGTATATACATATATATAGCTAATCTGAATGAAGAGATGAGCGGAAATCCGGTTGAGTGTCTGTCAGTCCATCTGAATAAAAGTGAAAATATTTGATATAAATTACTACATACGTTCCTTGGCACTTAAGGGAGGCCGGTATTGCAGATGGGCCATTAAATATTTGAAATGCTGTAATTTGATGCAGAATATTAGCAAAGGACACCAGGAGGCAAAATAATTTTTTAAATAGTATTTATTTCTGGCCCTTAAATAGTTTATTTTTTTAATATTTCTTTATTTGTTGGATTAGCTAGATAAAGCGTAACAATAAGTATTCAAATCTTAAATCTATTTAAATCTAAAGAAGATCAAGAATATCGTTGAATTGTGGTTTGGTAGAACGTTGCTCTCTAGTAGGCTGGTAGATCACCTCCTTTTCAACGCGTTTGATTGCAGGAAGGCGTTAGCCAATGGGTTTGAATGTTTGCGAAGTTTAGAAATACTTATATCTCATTCTGCTGTTTACTATCTACTTCTTAACCACAGGAATATCAAGATTTTTATGAATGTTTTCATTGCACATGTACCCAGGTGTTTCAGTGATTGTTCTAAGCATTTTAGATTAGAACCTTTGTATTATATCAATATTGGTTGCGCACACAGTTGAATGCCATACATTCAAATTGGTTTTATGATTGCACTGTATAATAGGACTTTGTTGTCTAGGCTAAGTTTGGAATTTTTTCATGAAAGTTTTTTTACTCGCTATATGTTTTCGCCACGTGAGCCTTCGATCCAGGTGAATCTCAAGATAAGTAACTTCATTCAAATGAGGTAATAGAACATTGTTTATTTTAACTGTCCTACACGTTTCTGGTCTTAGCATGAATGTATGTATGTAACATGTTTGCATTTCTGCTCGCCAATTGGCTAACCATTCATCGACAAAAGTTAAGTGCTCTGCTCTAATATTCGGTATGCTCCGATGGGGCATTACCTACGCCTTTACAAGTTTCTCTATTTCATTATTGGTGATCTTTTTAAAACCAACTGGTTTATTGTTTTTCGGTGTTGCCAATACAGCTGCTTTAGTTATTACATCATTCTCTTACACAATTCTCTTATTAGTTTTATGAAATGTTAGAGAAAATTTAGGATCAAATATCATGGACTGTTCGTATAATTTTGTTATTACAGTTGAATTATCAGATTATAAAAGATATATCTATATTTTTGACTAGTAGGTCGGCTTACAAGGCGATATTATATCCAATTTATTATGCTTATTTATAATAGTGTGATTCAGCTGTCGTTCCTTAGGATCAATTAGTCGTGAGCCCCAATACGTGTGTTTTGCATTGCAATCTTCACCTTCTGGAAATCTATGACCTAGAAATCCAAGAAACTATTTAAATTGGACGTTTGTAATTTTAAATCGAAGTGAGCAGTCTATCCCCGTAAGGTTTAAGTCCCCGCAGCGATTTGTAACAAAGAGTATAAATCCCGGTATACAGTTTTTATTAGTAAAATACGTTTTTGACAATAGCATTAAATCTATATTATATTCATCCACAAATCCAATAAGTCCCAATTTATGTTGGTTAACACCGTTAGCATTCCGTATGCAAATGTTCAATACGTTAATTTTTTACTTAAAAAAGTTTGTAACATTTATTTCTGTGATTTGATTATCTCTTCAATCACGTTTTGCATTGTAGACATAAATTGTGTCAAACATTGGCTAAACTTGAAAATCATGGTTTCAGCGCTTCAATTTGGTTGGTTTTGAGGCAATTGCATTTGTGCAGTGTCGCTTTTCACAACGTTTGCATAAATCCCTTGAGCAGCATTGTCATTAGGATTTTTTGGTTTTAAAATATGAACGGGGATATCAATATTTTCGTTAGGACGAATATTTAACATTTGGTTGCGACGTGCTTGAATACCGACAGACAAAATAGAATTTGCTTTAATGCTAAAACCCCCTTCTACTAAAACATCTTTCACATCATTACAGTCTACCGAAGACTATATATAATACCTTTTATGACAACAACTAGGATATTTGAGCTCTTCAGTTTATTTGACAAGTATTTTAAAAGATCTATGAAACTTTTTTCAGTGTAGGTTTGAATTTTTACTTCATCTATGTTACCTTTTTTCAAGGGCACAACGTGAAAATTGTTTGTGCCTATTATATTGCTTATTTTAGAAAGAAGAGCATTGAGCTGTGTTCTCGCAAATAAATTCGAGAGGGCTTGGCATTCACGACTAAGGTGGTACGCTTTACTCAGTAAAGCAAATCTGTTGTTGTGGTACGCTTTACTCAGTAAAGCAAATCTGTTGCCATTAAGAATTTCTGGCTTATTATTATTTGGCGTGCCTGATTGAAATTTTTTGGTATTGACCGCTGATTTAGTAGGACTAGATTTCCTTTTTACATTAATGTAGCAATTAATAGGTACCTGTCTGAACTGATGGTCTTTTTTTTTTTTTGCTTTGTATATTCTCACCTTGCATTTTGTTTTCCCTCTCTGTCCGGGTGCTTGCTAGTTATCCGTTTGCTGTTCTCCGCTACTTCTGCTGATTGCGCTTGTTTACTTGCTCTTTCAGCTGATCGCTGCGATGATGAGTCATCGCCGTTACTTTTGTTTTTGTTAGGAGTTGTTTTTTGTCTCAACAAAGCTGAAGTAGGCATTTAAAGAATGCCTACGGTTTTGCTGGTGAGGCTGCGAAGCACTCATTGTTGTTTTTTTTTTGTTTGTATCTATTTGCTTTGTGCACCATTTGTTAATTTTTATTATTAAAAGTTTGTGTGCACTGTTTTTATACGCTAAACAGGGTATACTAAGTTTGTCATGAAGTTTGTAACACTCAGAAGGAAGGGTCGGAGACCCTATAAAGTATTTATATACATGATCAGTATGTCGAGCTGATTCGATTTAAAATTTGGTATAGATTATTTCCTAAGGCAACAATGTAATATCCGAAGAAATTGTTTAGATCGGATTACTATAGTATACAGCTGCCATACAAACTGAATGATCGGAACCAAGGGCTTGTATGGAAAGTTTCGCATTTGACGTCGTATCTCCAAAAAAATTGTTAAGGACGGATTACTTTAGCCTATAGCTTCCATACAACCTTAACACAGTTACTAAGGGGAAATGCACCCGTGAAGGGTATTTAGCTTCGGTGCAACCGAAGTTAACGTTTTTTCTTGTTTCTTTGATAGTTTTTTTTTAAATTATTATTCTTGTTTGCTTACTTTTTGCAAAAACGTGAATCACGGAGGGAATTCAAAAACACGTCCGTATTCCTCAAGCACTTTGCTTTTTTTGTAAATAGTTATTTGTTCATATTTTAAAACCGCTTTAGTTAACTCAACTACATTTGAGAAGATATATTTTTAGCACTCTTTCTTAGAAGTAAAATCAAATAGTAACCACGCTAACTCTCCACATAAGTGTTATATTGCCAGTACTACTAAAAGTGCCATAATTCACTGAATTTAAATTTACCCGAATTTGGGTGAAATTGGATGACTTTAACATTTAAAAAACTTCTAATTCCATCTGATTATTTCCCTTAACAAGTATACAAATAAAATATTTTGGAACTGCTTTGACTTTATACCGCATTTATTGGTCAATATATAGGGTAATTCATTTAGAGGTTTCCTACTTTTTTACTCCTTCAAATTGTATAGAGACTATTTATTATTATTCGAACATTCTTTTGCATTTTTTGAAGATTATCTCTTTCAAATGTTGGCCGCGGTTACGTTTCAGAAGGTCCTCTGGTCATGTTAGACTTTAGACTTTACATATCCCTACAGCAAAAAGTCTAACGCTGTAATGTCACCCGATCTTGTTGGCCAATTGACCGGTCCCAGACGTGAAAGTATCTGCTTACCGCAATGTTCTCTCAATAAATCGATTAATTGATGCGATATGTGGGAAATGGCGCCAACTTGTTGAAATCATGAGCTTCAATTTCAGGCCTCAATTAGTCGGTTATCATGGTGCGATAACGGTCGCCATTGACGGTTTCAGTTCTTGTACAAGCTTTATTGTTCGTTCATTATTTAAGATCGCGACGTAAAATGCGCCAAGATGTTTCATATTTTAGTCCGAGTTGCTGCGAACGGCTATATTTTCTTCACCACGTGCTGAACATATTCTATTCGGACGAATATTATCCAATAATGAATTGTGGGTTTCATGATGAGCGATGGTGTTGCAAATAGTTCGCTCAGTAGCCCGATTTTGTTGACCATAAGTAAAACGAAGATCGAGAATAATATTTTTTAATAAAAGTTTATCGGTTGCTTATTATTTTTGTTTAAATTTTACACCGATTTGAATGAAATTCTGTTGTAATATCCCCGAGGAAAAATTGAACGGTTTTACTTATTTTGCTATACTATATTTCAATATTTATAACAACATTCTACCGTATTTTCTACTTCTCGATTGAATTTTTATGATATCTTAGTGAAATTAAGTATTTATCTCTGAAATAAATTGTTTTAATGTAATAGTTTGTCCATAGTTGAAAATATTTCCCACCATTGAACAGCCCGAGTATAAAATCTAGAAAATTGAACTTATGATTTTTCTAATGTATGGTTTTAGTAATCTTAACATCGCTTTGTATGTGTTCATAACATAAATATATATGTATGTCATTTAACATAGCTTTTAAATAATTTTAGATCCAAATCCCCCAGAGCACTTAACACTGAAGTCATCAACAAACACATCATTACAGTTTGAGTGGAATTTGCCAGTAAATTCTAATGGAAATATTAAGTTATACATTTCATATTTTCAACACATAGGACCAAAATATTTTGTTTCATCGAAATGCTCTTTCGTAACTGTGGAAGCCATATCACGAGAAACAGCTGGTTTGCAGCAGACTTTTCAAAACTTACTGGCATATACTTCATATAGCCTTCAAGTAGCAGCTCAAAATGAATATGGCGTGGGACATTACAGCAGACCACTTGTTGTGGAAACTGCACCATGGAGTATGTTTTTGACTAAAAACAAAAATCGGATATATTTTATGTTATTTATAGTTTCAGAACCACTTGAAAACCTTAACGCAGCAACATTTGGTCCGTATCCTACGGAAGATCAATATCAAGCGCACGTTGTCATCACGTGGACGATTCCATGTATTACAAATGGAGAAATTCAGACATTTCAGCTCAATATTTTCGGCGTACGTGAGGGTCAATCCAATCATACCTACAATCGAACAATATTACCAGTCTATGATAGTAACGGCTACGTCACTTACAAGGAAATTAATTTAAAACCTGATTTTGACTACTTTGTCGAAATCACTGTAAATATAGAAGAAGTAAGTAAGAGTAGCCTACCAGCATCTACAAGTTTCAAGGCACCATCCGCAAGTAAGTATTAAGCTTTTCTTTTTAAAGTTAAACAACGGGGAAAAATATACTATAAAGAAAAAAAAAATACGCTAACAATCTGCAAGCTTCAAAAGAAGGAAATATTTTGAAATGTTGCCAACATTTTATATTAAAAATGTTGCAAAAGTATTCTATTGTTATACTTCATTCAGCAAACTAAGTTAAGTTATAACCACGTTCACCACCCAAATATTGGCATTGGTGTAAAAATTATACAATGCCCATGGCTCCGCCCACTTACAGATATGCATTATAAGAGAAGTATTAAACAATTTTCAGTCATAAGGTGGCACTTACTAAAGACATTATTCATGTAAAGTTTCATCCCGTTATATTAATTGCTTCTTGATTTGTGTGCTAGAAACTGAACGAATCAAGTGGAATTTAAAATTGTGCTATATTATAAGTAAGCATGGTTGTTATCCGATTTCGTCCACTTTCACAGTGTAACATAAGAATGTAAGACTGCCACGTATAAAATTTTGTCGAAATCGGTCAGTCGGGTAACGAGATATGGGATTTCCCTAAAAAGAACGGTGCCACGCCCATGGTCAACTTTTCACAACAGCTCCCATTAAGCTCTCTCACGAAAAATTTAATGTATCTGGCTTAATTAGTTATTGATTTATCGCGTTTCAGTAGTTTTAAATATTACCGTTATATGAGGGGAGAGCGAGGTTATCCCCCGATTCATAGAAGTTCTTATACGATTGTACTCAGCAAATTTGATTGTTGTAACATAAGCGGTTTAGGAGATATATTCAATATTCGAAAATATTAAACATATTAGAGGGCGTGACCATACCCCCTTTTTCAAAATTGTTTATCCACAAATGCTCCTTGCTACTACCATGCCCTGTGTCAAATTAAAATTGTATACCTTAATTTAGTGCTTACTTTATATGTTTATATGTATTCGGTTAAATGCGATTTGTGGGCGTGGTAGCGGTCCGACTACGCCCATCTACGAACTAGAATTTTTTTGTTGCACCAAGCTTTATCGAGATATCTCAATTTAAGTGTTAAGTGTTAAGGACTAAAGTTATGTTCAACTGTACATAGTTGTGTGTCAGTTATTAATATTTAACCAATTTTTTGTTTTTTTTTTGTTGTGCGAACATTACCAGTACATACAGTTATAAGCGTATGTAAGTATATGTAGTAAATTTCAAAAATAAGCCACGCTGAGAAGTCGTTACGACGTTGAGTTGATGCTGTTGAGAAGCTACATGTAGCTGTTTCTGTGGTTGCCAGGCAAATTTTGATGTTGCTTTAGCTTTTCGCTTTTATGTTACATATGTATGTATTTATAATCAACGGTGTTGTTTAATCCCAGACAGAATTGCTAAGCTGTCAGTAATCAATTCTGATTTTCAATGGTGTCGCAGAATCTGATTGGATTTTCGTCTTTTCGAACATTCGCAAAACCAATATTCGAACCAGCTGTTTACTAATGTGATCCTATTAAAGTTTCTAATAAGTTCCGAATTTAAGGAAGATTTTAAGAGATAACATCTATAGAATGAATATAGACACATTTGGGTGTTAAATTACGAAACGAAAGTGAATCATTATTAATAGTTAATAAAATATTGACTTGTAATGTACCATTAGAAATAATGAGAAACAACAAAGCATTGTTGAAGTTGGGATAGAATGAACTGAAAGATAAATTGACTGAGCTAGGACTTACGTTGACGGGACGAAATATGACATTACAAGATCGGCTGCTTAAATATTTTGGTTAAATTGTAGATGTTGATGACGACAATAATGAAGGTGATCAGCAAGAGATGTTCCACACCAGGCACACAGTCGTACGCTATTCACTTTACGTGATATACAGAATTTATTAACATCCTTTAGCGCATCTGGATCTCCTTCAATCAAACTGAAAATGCAGAAGGGGTCAAGTAGAACGCGTTGCAAAAGTTCTTTTATGCGAAACAGCTTTAAAAGGTGCAGCAAAGTTATTTATACGTAGTCACCGAGGCATTGCTAATTGGGAAGGTTTAATGCAGTCTTTACGGTCAGAATTTGGTACTGTAGTATCAGCCAATGAGGTACATCTTATGTTACGTAGCCGTAGAAAGCGTTATAGTGAAGACTTTAAAGAATATCTATATAGTCATATGGAAATAAGTAAACAAATACATGATATAGGTCGATTTGAGTATTTCATAGAGGGCATTCGTGATACGAGACAAAATAAAAGTAATCTTTATCAAGCGGGATTGAACTGCATTAATCGATACTGGATGTGACGTTTGCTTAATACGATATGAAACTGTATTACTTTTGGAAGAAAATATAGAATTAAACGATGATAAGCGGTGTTTAAGGGGTACTAGCGGTAGTGTACGTTACACATTGGGTAGTTTTAGTATTTCTGTTAAAGTTGACGAGTTGAAAGTTAATGTTATTGTCACCTTGTTCGAGAACGAGACATGGCGTACGATCATTGATACGATACGATATCCTCAAACAGGTAGATTTGATTGTTTCAGAAGATTTGATAGTATTTAAACATAAGAACAAAATAAATAAAAATAGACTCGTAGAAAAAGCCGATACAAAGATAAAAGATGTTATAGAGAGAATAAATGAAAAAGAAGAGTTGTTGGAAGAAATTAAATATTTTTGTCTAATAGCCGCAAATTATAAAACAACAGAACCAGATGTAGACTTGTCGCATTTAAAGTAAGTCGATGTGAAAACAATTAAACACTTAATTACCAGTTGTAAACCAAGGGGCGCGCATGTTCCCAATCTCAATGAAAATTTTATTAACTCATGATATTCCACTTTATGAAAGTCCAAGACGTATGTCGTATGCTGACAAAACATTTATAGATAACCAAGTAAAAAAGTGGTTGGAGGAAGGGATTATCAAAGATAGTATATCAGAATATGCATCGCCAATAGTAGTTGCGTCCAAGAAAGACGGTAGCAAACGACTCAGTTTTGGTTATAAATAAACTAAAACACCAAGCTTCGGTATTTGGTAATCCCAGACGTATTATATCGGGCAGAGGTACTGCCTTCACCTCAAACACTTTTAAAGAATATTGTGAGAAGGAAGGTATTCAACACCTCCTGATTGCTACAGGTGTTCAGCACGGAAATGGTCAAATAGAACGTATCCACAAAATAATAATACTCATGTTGTCGAAGCTATGTTCAGAAAATCTAGGACAGTGGTATAAACATATCGAGCGTATTTAACAAACAACAAAGAATACTCCATCAAGAAGTACTAAATATTTACCTTTTAAGCTTTTAACAGGTCGTAAAATGAGAGTAGTAGTGACCCTAGATATAGTGAGCTATTTTAAGAAACGACTTAAGTTAAATGAAAATAGAGAAGACGTACGTTAAAAAGCGAAGGAAAACATTGACAAAATACTGGACGAAAACCGCAAAGCGTTTAATGACAATCAAAAAGAATAAACAAAGTACAGGATTAACGAGATAGTAGCCATTAAGTGAACGCTCGGGATTAAAACTAAAACCGGAGGTTTTGCCACACGGAAGATATGAGGTACAAAAAGTAGGAGACCATGAAGAGACCGCCAAAACCATTTCAATCGAACCTGAGGCATCGTTCATGTCGAATGAGGCGTCAGGAGAGCCGAATTGACCGAACTTGTGGAAGCAAATGAAACGGACCCTAACACGGACAACAACATATCTCAACGACATAGTTAAAGTTGATCAACGCCGCGAGCAAGTCGCAATATGAAAATATAAAATTGTTAAAAAAAACTAAGATATTGAAAATAAGGAAACTTAAATGTAAAACTAAAACTTTGTATGAATTAAATATAAATAAGCAATGTGTGTTGCATAAAAAAAATTTTCCCACATTTATATACATATATAAATATATATTTAACTTGCTTAGTATTAGGTGATACGTACCACCGTGAGGTGAACAAAACTATAATTCTCTATAGCAACTGGTTTCAAGAGTATAAAAATAGTAAGACTATATTCAGAACTGAAAATTCTTGATTTATTCTTTAAAACGTATATCCTCCCTTTCAAAGTAATTGCCCTTGACCCCAATACACTTCTGCCAAGGTTTTCTTCCAATACTACTTGAAACAGTTTAAGTCAATTTCCGGAATAGCCTTCCATGTGCGTAGCAATTCACGTTTAATCTTTTCAATTGACGCAAAATGATTCCCCGGAGAGGTTTGAGTTTGCTGAATAGCCAGAAGTCAGAATCAGAAGTGATGAATCAGACAAATACGGTGGTTGCGGCACGATATTGATTCATTGATTGGTTGGCCAAAAACACACGAATAATTAGCATTATGTCTGGTGCAAAAACCAAGAGTACATAACACTCAAATATTATTCCTTGTTGTTAGTATGAAATGTCGAAAGTCCACCACACCTCGATAATCGAAGAAAATTTTCTACATAACCTTGATTTGACCTCCTTTGAAGTGTTTTTTTCGCCTTCAGCTCACCTTTCCACGATATTCGGACAATTTATCATCAGTTTCTGGGTTGTAAGCACAAATCCAAAACTCACCGCCAGTAATAATATGTTTCATGATATCCTGACAGTCGGAAAACATAGTTTCACAGACGCTAAGTTGACACTTTTTCTCGAAAAAGTTAAGTGATTTAAGAACCAACCATTCTTTCACTTTTCTTAAGTCCAAATGATCTTTCAAAGTGGTTTTCACTTATTCTTCCGATATTCCAAAGATGCCAGTAAGATCACTCACCGTTAATAGTCTATACTCAGCCAGAAATTAATTTATTTGATTGACTTGTTGATCATCAGTTGCTTAATAATATTTTACTATTTTTGAGTTGTAGTGTGAAAATAGACGGAAGCGGACAACAAGCACGCTTACTGCCCATATAACATTATTTCAAATACTCATTCATTGATTTTACGGTATACATATTATATAAATCCAACACTAAAATATGTCAAAACAAGTCTTCAAAAATAAAAGCTTCAATGTAAGCTATCACAAGGTTAAAAATGGCAGTAATCGGACTATAACTTCTCAGATCAGTGGTACCTATTACTGAGTGTTTACCAACAATATCAACCACTCTTTAAGAAATAACATTCAAGAAATTCAGAGAACATCTCTCCTTCCAATATCCATATACCGTATTATATTTACATATGTACTAAAGAAAATGTTCGGTTTTTATTATTTCGGATTTTATTAAATTTACCATATTTTGCTCAGTTTGAACGAACTAAAACGAAAGGATAGTGCATATTCCAATTATGTTAAAAGTCAAAAAAATTAATTAATTAAAAATTATGTTTCAAGTCTTAAGCATGGGCTTAAAATTCTTGTAAGCAATATTTGAATATTTTTATTACCAATTATTAAGGTACAATACCTCTTGGTAGCGAAAGTTATACTGAAAGTAGGAGTGATGAGTCCCGAAATATAGGTCTTCAACTAAATGTGGGCGATGCCACGCCAATCTTCCAATGTAGGCTCCTATAAAGTCCTTTTGTTTCATCGTGGGGGTAAAATTTAATGTTTCTGCCGCACTCGCTTATTTGTTTATCGCGCTTTTACCTGTTTTTAACAAAACCGTTATAGAGGCATCGTTATTATCTAATTTCATCCATTTTCACACAGTCGGTAGGAGTTCTCAGAGAATTTGTACTTAAGGAATTTGGTTATCACATCTTTAGTCGTTTAAAATAGATGATAATATGTAACGTACGTACAATCGTTTAGAATAAAAATATACGTTCAGCTCGAAAATAAACTTTTGTTTGTTGAGGAGATTGAATACCTACTTATCTATACATACATATAAGTAATTACGCTAACAAAAAAGTTTGTGTTTACATATATGCATAAAATGTATACTGTTGGAGACGTGCAGAAGTGCACAACGTTATTACGTCGGGAACGAAGAATAACTAGTGGTGGCATGTTTTTATTCTTCTTCTTTATTGGCATTATAGACGAGTTTGCAAGAGCTGATACTCAACATCGGAGGTACCAATTTCAAATATTGGGGTATAAAGGCAGCTCATTTTCGCTGAATCTATCCACCGTTGTGCCAAAGGAGCCCTTTTTGCTACCTTGGCGTTAAAGGCGTAAAGCACAATTTTGACATCATGGAGGTGTCAGCTCTCATAGGTGCGCTCATAGAAGACGTCTTTGGTCACATCGGTCTTTAATTTAACGAAGACATCAATCAAATGGGCAGCAGCACCTTCCCAATAAGGGGCCGGACATCCCAGGTGCATGTCCTTAAATCTTAGTCCTTAATACGTTTGCAGTGGTCGTCATCTAAAAGGGATCTCTCATCCGAAGCTAATTTATTTTCATTGAGGTTGTTTTGTTAATGGCGGGATGTTTCGCTTCTCATTTTAGCTCGCATTCAAATAGATGTTACGCACTGATTTTCTTCCGCTGCGACTGGACTTCGGAGCGACTGCAACTGACTGGAATCGGTATAGATCATTCCTATCTAACGACCGAGCGGCTGGTCATTTGGCTCCGAGCACCAGGAGAGGCAGAACAAACATTTTCGCGCGACGTGTTTCTGTGAGTGGTGCAAGTGGAAAATGCAACATTAGTAAGAGCAGAGGTACGCGATTATATTTTGTGTGAAACTCTGTATATCTGCAGCAGAGATATTTGGTATAATCAAACAGGCTTACCTTTTTGGAGGGTCGACAATGTGGCTTGTGTGCGAAAAGTTTAGAACTCACGCCTTCGACTAAGTATTCGTTTAATTGCCCAGATGTTAAATTAATCAAAATCAGTTTTCATGACATTGTAACGGAGCCATTGAACATGCGCAAGGTTTGCGCGAAGATGGTCCTAAAAGTGCTCACTGACGACCTGAAATTGCAGTGAGTGAAAGTGTGCCAAGAATGTTTGAACATGTGTGAAAGTGATCACAGGTGACGAGTCCTGGATCTTTGATATGAGGCAAATTTGTCTTGTTTTGAGACGACAGATGCATCGCAGAAGGAGCATATTTTGAAAGTTTTTAAAGAATTGTAACGATTAGTTCAATATATTTTTTTAAACCGACTATTACATTCCGGACAAACACTGTATGTGAGATAAATGTGTACAGCTTACGGCAGATGCATAAAATTATTTTGGAATGTTAGAAATTAACTTATTAAAAAGTAATTTTCCAAGGTTAATTTATGTAGTCGGTTGTTTCGGCAATCTCAACAACACCGAAAAAGGAAGTCATTGCATTTTTTTCAGTTTTTTTCTGAGGTTGGTTTGTTGTAACTTCAAACGAAAATTTAATTGACAACGTTCATTTTTGGAAATAGAAAAATGAAAATTTTCAGGTTAATTGCAAGTGCATTGTTTGATAGTTAAATTTTTACCTTTTTCTAAGGTTAATTGGATGGTTGAGTCGACATCAACAGCACTGCAATTCGAGAGATATTTTCTTCGTGTGTTTTGGTGGTATCCCATTTGTACCTTTATTATTGGTGTGTTTATTTATTACTCTTATATAAAGAATTAATGAACGAGTAGAGTTGAAATTTGGTTAACTGTCTGTTTGTCCGTCCGTCCATACTTGCAAGCTGTAGCTTGGGTAAAAATTAAAATATCTAATGAAATTTGAATATCCCGTTTTACTCTCATGTAACGGTAATTCAAAAAGCGCAGCCAGGTCCTTCTCCACCTGCTTCTTCCAACGGAGTGGAGGTCTCCCTCTTCCTCTTCTTCCCCCGGCGGGTACTGCGTCGAATACTTTCAGAGCTGGAGAGTTTCCGTCCATTCGGAAAACATTACCTAGCCAGCGTAGCCGCTGTCTATTAATTAGCTGAACTATGTCAATGTCGTCACATATCTCATACAGCTCATCGTTCCATCGAATGCGATATTCGATAATCTTTCACAGAACTCTTCTGTCGAAAACTCGCAATGTCGACTCATCAGTTGTTGACATCGTCCAAGCCTCTGCACCATATAGCAGGACGGGAGTTATGAGTGACTTATAGAGTTTGGTTTTTGTTTGTCGAGAGAGAAGAGTTATCCTGCAAGATAGATGAAATTATCTACAACTTCAAAGTTATGACTATCAGCAGCGACATGAGTGCCTAGTCGCGAGTGTGACGACTGTTTGTTTGATGGCAGGAGATATTTCGTCTTGCCTCGTTCACTGCCGGACCCATTTGCTTTGCGTCCTTGTCCAGCCTGCAGAAAGCAGAACTAACGGCGCGGGTGTTGAGACCGATGATATCAATATAATCGGCATACGCCAGCAGCTGTACACTCTTATAAAAGATTTTAACTGTTCGATTAAGTTCTGCAGTTCGACTATTTTCTTCAGAACCAGGTTGAAGAAGTCGCACGATAGRGASTCACCTTGTCTGAAACCTCGTTTAATATCGAACGGCTCGGAGAGGTCCTTCCCGATTCTGACGGAGATTTAGGTGTTGCTCAACGTCAGTTTAAGGTCCAATCAGTTTGTTGACGGTGGGCTTTAATCTTTCACAGAATACCCTATAAGAACCTTATATGTAATGTTGAGTAGGCTTATCCCACAGTAGTTGGCGCAGATTGTGGGGTCTCCTTTTTTGTGGATTGGGCATAGCACACTTAAATTCCAATCGTTGGGCATGCTCCGTCCGACCATATTTTACAAAGAAGCTGATGCATGCTCCGTATCAGTTCTTCGCCGCCGTGTTTGAATAGCTCGGCCGGCAATCCATCGGCCCCTCCGCTTTGTTGTTCTTCAGGCGGGGAATTGCTATTCGAACTCTTCATGGTTGGGCAATGGAACTTCTGCTCCATCGCCATCGTTTGGGGAATTGGGTTCGCCTGCGTTCGGTGTGCGTTCACTGCCATTCAGCAGGCGGGAGAAGTGTTCCCTCCATAATTTAAGTATGCTCTGGGCGGTGACTAGATCACCTTTGGGGGTTCTACAAGAGTATGCTCCGGTCTTGAAACCTTCTGTAAGCCGCCGCATTTTTTCGTAGGATTTTCGAGCATTACCCCTGTCGGCCAGCTTATCAAGCTCTTCGTACTCACGCATTTCGGCCTCTTTCTTTTTCTCTCTGCAAATGCGTCTCGCTTCCCTCTTCAACTCTTGGTATCTACCCCATCCCGCACGTGCTGCGGTCGACTCAACGTTGCGAGGGAGACAGCCTGTTTAATCTTCGCTGTGACACGGCACTCCTCGTCTTACCAGCTGTTCTTTTGCACTTTCCGAAAACGAATGGTTTCGGTTGCAGCTGTACGTAAGGAGTTTGAAATGCCGTCCCACAGTTCCCTTATACCGAGTTGTTGACGAGTGCTCTCAGAGAGCAGGAGTGCAAGCCGAGTAGGAAACTACACTACACTATAAAATTCCTTTTGAATTTTGGAAATGATTAATATAACGAGATTAAACTCTGCTCGAATAGTGCCTTTGAAGTTTATCGCCCCATGACCAAAAATTGTCAAAATCGGACTGAAGCTGTTCAAGCTCTTAGATACCAAACCCTAGTACCTATAGTAGACTTTCAGGCAAATATTATCTGTCAATATACTTAAATTATATACTTTGACAACTAATCATTTATTCGCAACGTTATTATAAATAAAAATATTTTTAAATCTTAGAAAATAAATTAACTCYCTTTGCGAGAGTTTAAAATATTCGGATACATCTGAGCTTAGTCTTTCTTTTCTTTAACCCAACTTTAAGTAAAGATTCTTGAATCCTATTATGTGAACCTATAGATGATAAAAAGGAAATATTTGAGTAAACATTAAGGGGAATGTTTATAAATTTCTTTGTTAAATTTATTATCTTATGTACAAATTCATTCAAAATGGTTTAATATGAACTTAATTCATTTCATCAACAGTACCAAAAAAGTTAGACGACCTGCAAATTCAAAAAATTGAAGTTGACTCTTTCTCCTCGCACAATCCCACAAAAACTGCTGCAGTTAAATTTCCGGTTGATATGCTAAATACCAATTTAGGATCAATAATATATATGGCTTTACTTGTATCGGAAAAGGTAAGCTTAAAATATTACAAATATATTATTATTATTCTTTACATGAATATGCATATACATTAGTATATTATATAAGAATGGATTGCAGGTGGCAATATGTATTGTTACTGAACGAGTAATGTGTAGTCCAGATGGCAACATTGTAGCCCATCGATTAATTAATCAAGTGTAAAGGTGGACACTCTCTTGTCTTCCTCATAAGCTTTAAAAATTCTTCCTCCAGGAGTTAAATTCTCCTGGTCATCCTGAAAATTCTCTCTTGTTCGCGTTCAGTGTCACGCTATGATCGGGTTCGATAAAGTCAGTTAAAGTCTGCATCCTCATTCCTTCGAGTACTTCTCGAACTATTGTTGTTTTTAGAGTGGAGGGATTTGAAGGATGGTTGGTTTGCCCATAATCTAACCACATTTGGTCTAGTTGTTCAATTAATTTTGCAGTTGTGTCTGGCATTATATTAATCTTTTTACTTTTTCTCCTTTGTAATAGCACTTTCTTTGACAATATTGTATTTTTCAATTTAAATTTCTTTTCTTTTAGTTTAAGAAATATAATACTAATTTTTAATACTTTTTTTCAATAAAATGGGAATATGGCAAACCTGGTTTTGCGAAGGAACATCGAATCAACAATTGTTTCTTGAACGAAATTCAAAGTAATTGTTAAATTCATCATAAATTAGTTAAATTCATTATTATGGATTATATTTCATTTTGAAATGTTGTATAAAACTTACCAATCATCAACAACATTCCTTAAAACGCAATGAAAATACTTATGTTACTTCACACATACATACATACATAATACGCACAATGTTTATTTTCTTTGTTTATTCTCTCTTGCTCTTCTATTGTAGATCATTCACAATGCGTAACTAGCTGTCAAAATTACCTGAGAAATAATAAATTTTTTTTCGTGAGCAATTACTTGAGAGGTGGATACCAACCTTAAGAACTAATGTTTACAATTAATTATACTTATCCTAGACGTATGTTTGCCGCTGCAACAGGTATGGAGCTTGCTGACGCTGCGCTTGCCACAGGTTGCCATTACATATGTCGCACTCTCAGCGATTTAGTGGTGTCATATTATATTACTTTGTATCATATGATATTAATGCACCATATGATACCTTTTGAATGTGTGGGGTGCTAACTTATATACATACATATATAGCCATTATTTCAAACAAAATCTCCGTTTTCACGGATAAAAAATGGCCGAACTTCACGTTTTGTCAAAAATTCAATGTGTCAACGGACAGACGCGACGTCACAACATTAGGGGGATTCTCTTGTTCTGCATTAACAAAAAAAGCTGTAACAAATATTTATAATTTAAATAGAAATTATAAAATCTATTTAAAATTTACCTTCCTCAACAATTTAATATCAAAATATGTATTTAAGTAAAATGACAGCCAGCACAGGGTTGCAATCACTATTTTACGAGAATCATTGTACGAGAATAAACATGAGTTTTGGTCTGACATATTTAACAGCCATTGTAAATAATTTTCTGCGTATGTTTGTTGTTGTGCCAGTGCACCAAGGGGAAATATCTGCAATTCGTGCACCGTGTAAGGGGTTTGCAAGAGCAAGAGACTACGCACGCGCATGTTATATTACTGACAAATGATACTATCTTGATTTGAAATTGATTTGTACTTACATACATATCTGTAAGATAGATGCCTATGAAAGTTTTAAATGATAAAAAGTGTGTGTTTGCATATTTATATTATTATTATATATTATGTTTTTAGGATATTACGATACATACTTATCTACACTAATAATATAAAGAGGAATGATTTGTACCTATTTTTGTATTTTGCCGATTTAAAAAATTCTTTCACCAATAAAATGCTACATTCTTCCAATTTGACATAGGCTACATTTCATTTTGAAAAAAATGAGGGATCCTTGGTGAAATTTGAACAATGTAACCGAAGGTGTAGAAAAATTAGTCTTAAAATGTCTTTCGTCGAATGCGCTGCCGAAACTATTAGCGATAGAACAAAATAATGTACAACAATATTGAAGAATATCATAATGTCAACAAAAAACTCCACGGTAGCATATGTCCAATTATTGCAGTTATGTCACTACAAAGCCTTTTTTCATTTTAAACATTAATGAAAATGCTAACCAAATTCAAATCATGCTATTTATGTACATATGTGGTTATATTAATTCTTATCCAAATAAATTATTTTATGGTTGAAATAGTTTTTATTTTAAAGAAATTAATATTTCAAATAAATTATATTTATTTCGACTATTAAAAAGTGGAGAAGAAAATTGATGACCTTCATGAAATATGCATATTCGCATAATATTTCGTTATCATTTCCATATTTGTACCAATAGAATTTCTATGACACATGCATATGTACATAYATTATTTCTTTGGYACATTTGTCTGTATGTTTACGAAAGCAAATGCGAGCCATATACATATGTACATAMATTCATATCAACAAGTGTCGCACGCTTCTTTCGCATCTCCGTTGTCAAGGTCAACCAATGGCTGAACACATTGAGCACGGCAGACTGCAAGCGACATTTGTCAAATATTAAAATACACACGTTCTTAGGGGCATAGTTATGGAGTTGTGCAGCTGCCTCAATACCTGTGCCCCCAAGAATGTGTGTATTCTAATATCTGTCGCGGTCATTGGTTCAGCAATTGTGTGATGATAGAAAATCCAAGCAGTGCCAAATAAAATAAACGAATGGCAGCCTATTGACCGCTTCCTTTGCCGCTGTAACAGCTTCGCCAACAAACTAGCGTAAATATGTATGCAGATGTATGAGCTTGCATACATATGGACGCAGATTTTTGTGAGTCACGGAAAAATCTTTTAGAATGGACAAATATTATAAATCGACAACTCCGTTGTTGCCACTTTTTTGACTTCTTTCTGTGAAGACGCATAGAAAGTTGTTCAATTATGAATGAAATCGTTTTTTGTTATAAAATTTACTACATTTGGGCTTCGCCAATTCGACTGCCAAAATGACGTTTGATGCTTCTGCAATTTGAGCAATTGTTGTTTTTGTAGAACAATGCTTCAAATTTTTGTTGGTGACATATTCACATGTGTAAGCATATGTATGTATRCAATTTAATTCCCGCGACGAGGGAATTTTTAAAAAATATATGTTTTACATCCGCGAACGCGTGGATAAAATAAGGACACGTGTGGTTCCTGTGGATTGCCAGAKGCAAATGAAATCTTTATTTCTGATTTAGTAATATATATACATTTTTGACTTATTTACTTAAACTTAAAGCTAAAGCTKAAGTGTAAGCATCAGCTAAATCCAGAAGAAAGAGTTAATTACAATAARTATTAGCTGTGACAGCAAATTCCAGCAGAACGTTAAGCGTTCTGTTTTCTTTACGATTGTTATAGCAGAAACAGTGAAAAACGTAGAATCGTGGGTCGTGTCAGCTGATTCGACCTATCGTACGCGTAATGTAAGTGCCCAGTGAAAAACGCTACTCCCTTCTCTCTTTAACGTCGGATGACGTGAGAATCTACAGCATTTTGGTTTTTGCCGTGGAAACGTGTTAGCTGATTGCCAATATGTATATACTGTAGCAATTATAAACTTTTATAATTCAGTCTGTTCAATATGTTTGAAATTTTCTCAAAATAACTTAAAATTGGAGTCGAATGCTATTATATACAAATACATAAACTATTTTTAATAGTTTGTTTTCAGTTTTGATATTTTATATTATAAACAATTGTAATTGAAAACATAGATGTGTACAAAACTATATACATATGCGTATTGAGCAATGGCAACATTGTTGAAATGTAAACAAGCTCCAACGTCAAATGAAAAACTTATTGGATTCAAAAATGAAAATACGTTTGTGAAAATATAAAGAAAATATGGGTGATGAAAAATTAATAGCTCTAGTAGAAGCTAGAGGTGAATTATACAACAAGAGCAGTCCATATTATAAGCTACAACCAGGAAAAGATGCTTCGTGGGCTGAAATCGGGAGGGAGTTGAACGCAAGTGGTAAGTTGCTTTGTTATTTACAACTGTTTATGTTTTTAATAATAATTAATTATATTTATAAAGGAGAAATGTGTCGCCGTAGATGGATGATACTTCGGGACCGATACGGGAGGGAAGTGCGGAAGGCTGACGCCCCCTCAGGCAGAGGGATGGAGTTCCACAGACAGTGGCATTTGATGGAGGCAATGTCGTTTATTAAGCCACATATTTTACCACGACCGTAAGTTTTAGTATATTAATTGAATATACATATTTGTATTTGTAATAAAARCTTAAATTTACAGGGTTATATTCTCACAAAATATTTGTGAAACCGCTGTCACTGATCAATCAGCTGAAGAAACACAACTGCAGCCACAAGGAGAAGAGCAGGAGGTGGAATCGCCATCGCCGTTATGGCCACCATTAACCCCAATCGCAATATCGCTGCCTTCGCCATCACCTCCTTTCCCCGTGACGCTAAGCCTACCATCCCCGACTCCTTCTTCCACATCAGTCTCACTTCCCTTACCATCATGCTCTACGCAGGTGGCTAACAAGAGAGGTCATCTGTGTCTACTAGCGAGGTTGACCGGAAAATGATTGAAGCCATCGAGCTTTTTAAGAATAAATCCTCATCAACACCAACAACCCAGCAAACCCAAYAACAAGAAACCGAAAACCCGGCTGTGCAGGCGTTCAGCACTTTAATGCAAGCAAGGGCAATGGAGAAAATGTTACAAGTTGCGTTTGAAGTTCAGAGGGAATAATATTAACAAAACATTTAATAATATTAATAATAGAGAGTTAATTAATAAAGAGTTATGAAGTATTTTTTTTAAATTATTATTTTAGCTTTATTTAAGTATTCGATAAATAATTAATTTGTAATGTATATAATTCCAAACATATGCTTTTGTTATACTCTCGCAACAAAGTTGCTAAAGAGAATATTATAGTTTTGTTCACATAACGGTT